ACCTTGGAGGGACATGGTAGAGCTTGGGAGAGCTGCTTGATATTACAAGAGATATGCCAAGGGGCCAAGGGACTATGTGAGTGTCTCTCCAAAGTTTGAAGTAATGTCTGGGTGGTGATGTTGAAATTGAACAAATAACATCCACAGAGGCCGAGGGTATCATGTGACGGAGAAGTATCTATAGTTAGCCACCCCATAGGCCATTTGTAATTGTAGATAGCTACTGACTGTTTGAACTAAGGCCCTGAGATTGTAATACATTCTTGATTACCACCATTTGCCTCGATTAGGTTGCCATTATCCTTGGAGATTCTACATGGGATTTTAAGCATTGGGAAATTTTGATGTGAATAACAAGAGGCATTACAAGAGGGTTAGTAGAAAATCTTTCGGAGCATATTTTGTGGGATATGTAGATAAGAACAAATGTGAACTTGTATATAATCCAATGAGCTAGCAACATAAACCGCTCTCGGTTTGTAACTCGCTTTGCTTATGGCCGTTGCAGCCAGCTAGACCTCCTCACCGGCTGAGGAGAGGAACTGTGTGGCCAAGTGAGCATCCCCTTCGAGGGGGGACTCTAGCCCTATGTGCAACTGGTGTGAAACGATCGACCTGTGCATTTCTTGCCATTTCGTTGCTTGGTATCGACCCTGCTCGAATGAATTCAAGTCGATTTTTCACTACTGCCCTTCGGAGAGGTCTTACTATGGCAAGGCCACGATCTTTGCAACATCTAATTGACACAACTGTCAGCACACGTTCAAAGGTCCAACAAGGGCAACTTCTTTTGTCATCACCATCATTGTGAGGGTCGGAAAATTATGGAGGTGTTGAAGTTGGCCATTTCCAGGCCATAAATGACATGGCAAACGACTACATCAACTTCATCTGCCCAAGCATTACCGCTCAGGATTTCCAACGCCACCAACCGATGACATTAGTTAACATATCCGTACCTAATGCGGCTGAGCACACCGGCAGCTTGAGGAGCAATCAAGGAATTACAATTCAGCCAGAACCGTCCAAGATCCAAGCCGCTCAGCGACCACAGCTTCAGAATCAGCTCCAGTATACAGTAATAGTCCTCTCCATGATCGCCCAAGCATCAAGGAGCACGGTTTCATCTGACTTTGACGCCCAACATAAGACAACGACATCCTCCCACACACCAACAATCCGTCAAACGACCAGTCCGACATCCGCGCACAGACCAAGACCCCCAAAACGGCAAAAGCGCTTGACAGTGCTTCCCCGCATCCTGACCATCCTGCACTGCGTGCCCTGCACCCCACTCCCGCCGCTCAGCAGCCGTTTGGCAGGTTCCCCGCAGCCATGACCGCGGCATGCTTTCGCCAGGTCGAAAGCTGGCGATTCCTCATCGCCCAGTGGCTCGCTCTGGGGGACCTCTGGCTCTCTCGCTGGTACCTCGACAAAGCCGATTGCCCAGAAGGTTACTGGTGTTTCGGGCTGACAGTCGTGCTTCCGTTCAGCCTTGAGGACGAGCTATGGCTGCACGACTAGCAGACAAACGGGGAAGACGCGCTCCGGTACCAGCTCCAGAAGCAGGCGCGGGAGGCGTACTGTCGCACGACGGCTACCCAACTGATGTCAGGGCATCGGCCGGGGCCTGGGGAGAAGCCAGAGTGGAGCCCTGACTACAATCCTGAGGCGGTGTACCGCCCCTGGGCTCTCCAGGTGCACCCCCATCCGCATCGGCCGTACACCGGCATGGGGACGCGGGCTTTCCGTTGACGCATCGTGGCGATGATCGAACACGAAGGAGAACGTGTCCAGGCCTGGCGCGGCGCGGAGTTGAACTTCTACTACTGTCAAGTGCACGTCAGTCTCGACATCAGTGTGCCGTTTTCGGATGCGCGTTGCTGGCGCATGGAGGGTGGTGGTGTGACTCGTCGCGAGTACGCCGCCACGCACCCATCAAGCGCCTCCAAAGTCTTCCCGCGGGAGCGGAAGGAGTTCGGGATTCAAACCGAGCCGAACGCCACCGTACTGCCCTCGGCCGCCTTCGCGGAAGCCAGTGCACTCGTGGCCCGACGACTCAACGCTGGCAAGCCACCGTACATGGACGTGGAGCTGCGTGCGGAGGAGCGAGCCTGGCGGAGGGCCATCCGACGTCAGCGCCGGGAAGCGCGGATGCGTGGGCAAGCTCAAGATGATGTCATGGTGGACGCGTCCGCTGATGGACCACCAGCAGTACTGGCAACCATTGGCGCCTCCGAGGTGATGACACCAGTTCTGCCACCCAGCTTTGATGGGACGCGCAACAAGAAGACGGTGACACCATCGCTCCCGCCGGGATTCGGGGGCTGAGGGGCGCGGACTACGGAAAGTTGGTAGACGAGCCGGCGATCGTGACAAGACGGTGTATGGGCTGGCGGATGATGCGATGATTGGAGGACGCCCGAAGCCAGCTGGCGCGACTGGAGCTATCCAAGGGAATCCCTGGCGGAGGAGGAGTGCGTGGGGATCCAGCTGTCATGTGATTGTACGGGACAAATTGTATCGGAACGCGTTACCGATTGGGTCTTTTCTTGTCCAGTGGTGTGAATGGACGTGGAAGGGTGACGAGAGGGGATGAACCAATGTGTGCCAATTGTACCAAACAAACGATCCTGCAATAAAAAGCCGCGGGGAGTCTGTCCAGGCAGCTCTCCGGCAGGCCTCTGTGTGACGAAGTGTGTCCCAGCCGCCTGTACAATCCCGCCGTTGCGCCGCAGCCCCTCGCTGGCTCGGCCAATCCCGGTCTTGCCCTCTTGCGGTACCCGAGCGTCCGCAAGCCGGCCTAAGGAGCCCCGAGGCTCTCTGGTGGACCTCACACTCACGTTGAGTGCTGAGTACGACGAGTGCAGATTCCGGAGTGACTGAGGGCCGCGCGGAGCGTGTGAGAAGCGCGGTCGCTGGAGCTGGAGTGCCGTAGCACCCTACGGTGGTGCTGATCGGCCAGTACGCGCAACAGGTGGACGCTGTGAGGAAGTTGCGCCGTACGGTTCTGGTGGAGACCTCTATGGTGAGGTGCGATATGGGTCTGAGCTTCCCTGGAACGCCGATGGAGGGTGCTGCTGTCATGGCGGCGTTGGCCAGTGCTGTCGGACGAGGAGTAAGATTCCTGGGCGTTGGTATCCATTGGATTGGGGAGCTCCTGGTGACCCTACTTGGGTGGTTAGCATGGATGCTAAATATTGATGAGGCAAAGATGAGTCCGATTCTGGGAGCGGTCAGAATGGTCTATAATGGCCTGGCCCTCCTCATTTTGTTCAACATGACTGCCGCCATTTTCTGCGCAATGAGGCAACTTCTGCAGAGGGTAGTTATGGGAAGATGCGGTGAGATATGGTGTTCTCAAACATGGTGAATGCAGGGGTAAAAGCATGGCGAGTATGGGGAATGGTGATTGGCTAATTGGGAACATTTTCCTGCAAACACTATTTGGTTGGCGTGCTTGTCTTGTAACACATCTGGTTATGGCCTCGTTTCCCATGCCTGGGAGTGAACATGTGCGAGCGTGCGAGAACACCGGTCAGCTTGATAATCATCACTGTTTGTTACACAACAAGGCAAGGACGTACCCGTCAGCTTCCTATTTTGCCCAAGCAAAGCAATGTCCATGACAAGTTCATTGACATCTAATGTATAGCCCCAACACACTCTAGGAAACCATCCATTCTATTACCAACATGCATTTGTCGATGATGATCAATGGAAAGGAGTGTGCTTGCCCTTGTCACTAATGCACATGGAAGTGTTGCAGTCTTGCAAGACCCTGAATGGGAGCGACTTTTGTTGGATCACATGGTGCCGTTAGCAAGAATTGGCATTGAATCTTGTTGCAAGGGACCAGGAACCTCAGCAGGCCGTGCCAGAGTCTTGTGAGATAGCCCTAGCAGGAGTTGCAGTCTGCCAACAAATGACAGGGCCAGCAGACATCAACGTCCAAGGGAAACTTGAGCCAGAATTTGAACTCTCGCGTGGGGTCAAGGGGCCATCTCACAAAAAATTGCAATGGACCCTTTGAGCAGTCTTGTCTAACAATGTTGCTCAAGGACCATTCCCATGCCAGCGAGGCTTGTTTGCCTCAAACCTTCGCCTCTCCCTTGCTCCAGATCGAAAGCGTTTCGAGGGAAACGAACGAGGATGTTCCACCATCTTGCAGGAAGAAGCAACATGCTACACATTGGGTAGATTCTGTCCTCAGGGCAGGTGGCCCCAGAAACTTGGGCGCCCAGATTGTGTGTTGCAGCCAGCATATCACCATATGCATTTCATGGAGCACGTATTAATGACAAGGTGGTGCCTTTTATGGTACTGTTGTTCTGTTTGATGTGTGGTGGTGGCAACATGTGAGGACATATGCCTCAACATTCGATGGTGAAGAAGGTGTGACTGCGACCAAATTTATAGAACTGGGTGCACTGTACGCAAGAGATGTGCAAGGGCAGACAGTTGCGACCCTCTTTGGCCTCTAACATCACAGTTTGAGCAGATCATCTCCTATGTCGCAATGCCCATCGAACCATCGACAAAAGGCATCACTGCACCAACATTAATCTGCAGTCCAGTACCTCTATATGCAGTAAGCCACTCCAATGCATCAGCATGACCCAGGTGGCCATTTGGATAGAGCCTCGATTCACACTGTAGACCAGATACCACAACACAAGGCATGCATGTGGTTGCACTTACTGAATTAGGGTGTGCCCAGATTATTGATGTATTTCTTGGCCCACTGGTACCCATTGCACACACATGATCAAGATGGAATGCAAATGTGACCAGGTGCTCAGTTACCCAATTTTCACACACTGGGCCAATTAGCAATGATACAGATGCATGTCCCAATAAAAAATAAATACACTATCTACAAGAGACAGAATCGTCTACCCTGAAAAGTGTCCGGCACCCTGCTGCTGTACTCCATCTCCATGGTCCTGCTCCCACGCGTCACTTGATACCCAGCCAACTCCTACCGTTCATGCTGAAACTCAATGCACTGTTGTTTGCTTGTTCTTGAGTTTCTGTGCGATCCAGCCCAATCCATCCAGCAGACCTTCCCCTGTGAGGGCACATGAGGGCTGTATGTGCCAGTCATGCTGCTTGATTGTATGCAGCGCCAGGGCCTGGGACAGCTCTGCCATGTCCATAGCATCTTTCAGGTCCTGTTTGTTCGCCAGAACCAGGACAGGCACGTTGACAATATCCTGGTTGACCAGGAGGGCAAAGAGTTCAGCCTGAAAGGCAACACAGACAAGCGCTGAGGCTGTGGACTAGTTCAACTGCTGGAGCTGAATGAAAACCAGCTAAGAACTGCAGGGACTGGATGGGGCCCCTGGCATGCATTGGGAATACCATGATATGTGACATCACTGATGTGACGCAAGGAGAAGTATGGTACAGTGGTCTGAGAGCAGTCGCTAGTTTGCTGAGTCTTGCCTTCGATGGCATCGGGTCATTGGGAGGTACAAGAAATTCTATTGACAATGAGCAATCACTCTTCTACTGCGGTCAGCATTACTTGTTAACTGGAGGCCAATACCACTCCAAGGAAAAGATGCCGAACTCACTTCGATTTCTTACTGCTATGACACAGTGCTGGCCAATTATGTGGTGGGTAGCGCACATTGGAGAATAGTTGGCTTTCATGTGAAAATAGCGACGGAAACGAGATGGCAGGGTCTTACTCATGATCGGTGTACACAAGTTCGAGCCCCCTTTCACAATAATGCGTTCGGATGCCTTTTTTTTGAATGACTTGTCCCCACAGCACCCCAAAACAGGTGCTGCTCAGCAAGTAGATTCAGTATCACCAAAGACACGAGTCATGGCACAGAGTGGAGGCAATCACAGACATTTGTATGGAGGCAGCACAGGGTCAGCAGCACGACACAGCGGTGAGTTTTGAAGCAAGAGGTTCGAAGGGACGCAAAAGGTATAAATGACAGTTATGCCTGGAGCATTGTTGTTGATTGCTACCTTTGTTATCCCTATTCGTGCTCTATCTGTGCTATCCACGACCATCACAACAGCATCTGTCGACCGCAGGTAGGCCGCCCATGACGCTCTCAGGTTCGCCTGGCCTCCCAGGTCCCATATCTCGAACGTCAAATTCTTGTAGGGTATTTGTTCAACGTTGCTGCCCACGGTCGGCTGGGAAACAACCACCTCTCCCAGCAACAATTTGTAGAGAGTAGTGGTTTTCCCTGCGTTGTCCAATCCAACCTGCGAGGCAGCCCAAAAAGGATGACGGCAACAGTTTTGTGCAGAACATCGTCGCACCAGTGACGGCGTCAGGCTGCAGTGCTGCGATCCGTGAGCCGATCAAGGCATGACGGACAAGAAGAGCAGCTTGGCCTGGTGCTGGAAACAAATCCCTGTGGGAAATCATCTCCACACCAGAGCATTCCCTGAGAGAGGCGCACCATAAGCATCCTGTCGGCGAAGGATTAGACTAAGTCTCGATGCACTGCTTCAGCCAAACGTCCGCCACGAGATCAAGCACGCTCGCGCACACCACCAGCACAATTACAAGACCGTGGCCTCCATGCGTTGAGGCACCCAGCCAAGGCACCCTACACAGGAACGCGACCACGGATTTGCGGTATCTTATTCAACCTGCTGCCTGCACCACCTAACTCAACGACACCGAAAGACAAGTTGCGGAAGACAAAGTCAGTTCCACCGGGGCGGGAGGCCAGTCCATGCCCTGGCCAGTAAAGAAATCAGGTGCTCACCATCACCAATCGGTACTCCTTGTTGGGGAACCAATACGACCAGAGCGACGACACGGACTGCCCCATTCAAGCCCTGCCAGCCGTACACAGTGGCCTGGAGATCGGATGTGCTGGGGCCGCGCTGCCGGCGAGGTTCGCAGGCGTGTAAACCAAACGGGCAATGACACTGTGGTGCGGTTGGGGGAGGGCCTGCAGCAGGGTCCTCGTTCCGCCCTGCGAACTCACTGAACGACAGGGCGATGTCAGAGGGGACCTGCAATTTCCATCGAGGCCGGACACGCACCCCCTGCCCAACATCCGCCAATCTAGGGAGCCCGCGTCTTCAACGGCAGTCGAGGCTCGTGCTGGTGCCTGGAGTCGACTGGCAGCCACCTGGGTTCCCAGCGCGGCTCCCGTTCGGCTGGGCGCCAAACCACGAGTCCTGCGGCCTGCGCCCTGACTCATCTATCACTGCCCAAACGACTCGCCCCTAAAACGGAATCCAAGGTCGATCAGTAGGTCCAGATACGGATGGAGTCAATTGCTGCCACCACGCTTACTGTGTTACGGGCCCTGCAGGCGCCCCACACACTGCGAACCCCGCAGCGGCCTTCCCAGGAGGCTGTCAGCTAGGATTGCCATGCCTGAATGCAGAAGGGGCGGCACGGACGTGAATGGCGATCCTCTGGGGCAAGCGCAGCATCTCATCGGTCAGGTTTCTAAGCATGTGCTCGGCGCGCTGGATGGCGGGCGCCGGGCACTTGGGCGGCAGCTCGACGCCTTTGCGGGCATCGTGCCCAAGACCACCGCCCATTTAGCAGAGTTGACAAGGCTCACGAACGCTGCTGGACGGTGAGCCGAAATTGCATCGTCGCCGTGTGACCACAGCCGCCTGTTGCGCGGTTAATGAGGCTGTGGGTAGCGACACGCATCAACCACCAGCAGCGTGTTCCATTGCAGCATGTATGGTGTCAAAACGATACAGAAACGGTTGAGTTGTGGCTGGATAACCAAAAGCATTTCGGGTTATTGCCAGAAAGTCAAGTGCAGTTTGTGACTGAAACGATTCAGTCAACGAAGCAACGATTCGTTGCCATGCAACACGCCATTCTAAAAATAGGCGTGCGACTTTCTGAAGTGTGGAAAACGAGGCCAAACACGCTGAAAACAGAATGGCAGTCAGACTGAAGAATGAAAGGAACAGGGACCAATACGGACGTTCAGATGCAGGCTGCGATCAGGAAAATGGGGCAGACATTGACATTTTTAGTTTGTTGCCACGCTCGCGACCACGCCTATGCTCAAAGGGATTTGCAGGAGAAGGATGTGAGCACATCTTGTTTTGTTGTTGTTTTTTGCTTGTTTTGCTGATGCAGCCACCCAACACTCTTGCCACTCCCATGTTTGCCACACACTGTTGGCAATGGCAAGGCTGTATCTACGCCTGTTAAAATTAAGACAACTGCAGCAGATCTCGTTCCAATCAGTGTGGCAGCAAGCGTCTGCACATGCAGTTTGCCAGCAGATAGTTTGCTAAACTCGCCAGCTTTCTGTTTTTGCAATTCATATCCATGTGTGGACGCTACAGAACATGCTGTTCCATGCCAGCATCTGACCTCTTGCATTGACTTTGTTTGACTCAGTGCTGCACATGAATCATAGAAGAAAAGTCATCAGCTTATAAGCAAACAAATAGCATCAGCACCTGGGGTTCATTATGTCAACTAGTTGCATTCTGTCTGTACTTTAACTCTGTATCAGTTTGTCAGGAGGTCAGCTTTCTTTTTCCTCAGGTTTGCATCCATGGCCATGAATGCTCGGAACTCCGATGACGACACTGCTGGGCGTCTGAGCGAGCAGGAAATGGTTAAACTGGAGTCTGAATTTCTGAAGCTTCCCGTTGAGGAGCAGAAAGCCATTGTTGACTATGCTACGTTGAAGTTTCTGGAGAACAAAAAGATCAAATACAAGGGCCGCTCAACGAGCTTGAAGAAACTGACAGAGCAATATTTTGAAGAGGAGAAGGTTTGGGAACGGGGAGGCAACAGGGATACCATGACTGAGGATGAGGAGAAGTGAGTTCGTGCATCAGAAAATGATGCCTGCCAGAATTCGAGCCTTGTATCGATGACTTGATTTCCTGGATGTAAATGATTCATTCTTGGCATCCTTGCAACTGATTGGGGCCTTGCCCCTTTGTACCTATTTTATGCCTCGTGTCTCTGTCAGTGTCTGTCCACCACAACAAACACAACAGCCATGGCCCTTCCTTTGTGTTGTATAGTTTCCAATACCTGGATGCCATGCCTGCAAATGAAATTCGGAAGGAGGCCCCAAAGCAGCAGCTGCGGCCAGAGGAAGAGCAAGCACTGGAACTTGAGTGCATGGCCCAAGGTGAATACAACCAGGGCTTTTGGGGAGGGCGCCAATACACATTTGGTCTGTTTGCACGTCCACAGCAAGTGAAAGAGGTCCTCGAAAAGAAGTGGTCACAGAGGCTCCCACATGCGGTGAGTTTGGAACTGCTGCAGTTGAGGAACCGTGCAGCAGGTGCATATTTTCTTGTGCCATATTACACTGGTGTCCCCAGCAGGTAGCAACTGAGTCACCCAAGTGTGCATTGCCAAGCGCTGATGCCATAGGATAAGGACAACTCCTGTCTCATGACTGGGTGTTCGAATTCATGAAAACAAGTGGGATCTTGCTGCCTGGGCTCCTGGTTTGTGGCACAAGGTTGTGCAGCTGCATGGACTGTGACAACGACCTGAAGAGATGGTACATGATTTACTTGTAAACCATCTGTTGATTCAAGGGAGCACCGGGGGCACGTGGCGTGCCAGCTTTAATTGGATTGTAGGCTGCATTTAGCATGAGCTTCGTTTCTCAGACTTGCCAAAGAGTCTGCTTTTTGCTGCTGGGAGAATTTTCAACACCTCTTGCTTTGGTGCAGTCGATGTGTGGGAAACATGGTCAAATGACTTTTCATTGCCAGGGATTTCCAGTATTGTGTCTGGTGTGCTGCAGGTGATGAATAACCCAGAGTATTGGAATGATATTTTGATGAATGCACACAACATGGAGCTCACCCTCATGGTGGTTCCTTCCAAGCGTCTTTCAATACCACAGTACCAGAGGTGAGCAGCTCATTGTCATATTCAGTTGTGGCGATTGCCTGTTGACCCAATCGACACCATTGTAGGGAGACTTGACACCAATGTAGGGAGATGGGTCAGTCTAGACTTCTTGGATGTTGACCTCTGTATCCAGCCTGTAGGCCACAAGGCCTGCGAAGTTTCTGTCCATCCTATGAGCAGCATCATGCCTGTTGATAGTACAGTGCCTGCAGACAGCGTGGTGGACCTAGGCTCCCATATTTGTTTTCTTTTGCTGGTTTTGATTTCTGGCCTGATGGGTTAACTGGCCGTCACAAGAACATGCATGATTTTTCTTCTGGATGGCAGTTTTGAATTTTTGTGCAAGCCAAGCACTGTGTTGGAGAAGTGGTGTGCACCTGCAGATAGCGTCCACCACTTGCCTTCCACCAGTTGGACAGTGTGCAGCACTGTCAGGTTGCTGAATTGTTGGGCAAATGCCTGGAAATATTGCAACACTGAAGATGCACTTGCAATCACACTGCAGACGCTATGGTGAGCTCCTCAGAAAGGGTCTGGAGCAAGAAGGGCCATCTAAACAAGACAGGCGTGAGCTGAATCGTCTAGTGACGATGTTTGACCCCTCAATTCTGCGTGGGAGGCTGCCATGGGTGTCTGGTTCACGTATTCTGCCAGACACACAAATGATCTTCAGCACCTTGCCCAAAGGCGAGCTTGCCATCGAAGGTAGGGTGCACATTGAAATACGAGCTTAATCGATGCAAAGGGGAGGGCAGGGGGTAAATGGACATGTGTAAGGAACATGCAAGCACTGCAACTGTCATTGGGTTCTGCTTTGGCACCGAGTTATCGATTTTTGACATGGTCAGTTTCAGGAGTTGATAGTCAGCGCACTGGTGCTCTGGAGAAGTGGATTGTTCTCTGATTGCTCAGATCTTGGCCATGCGAATGCGGTCTAACACACCTGTGTGTCTGATGTCACAGTGATCAATCCTGCGCCTTTGAAGGACCAACACCCCACTTTCATGGGCATTCTCAAGAGCCCCAAGCTCACGTATTCAGTGTTTGACATGTTCTTGGGGAACAGTCCAATTGATGCCCAGGCCAGACAAGAGGCAGGTACAGCGATGCTGTACCTGGCCAATGGCTTCAAGATGGAATATGACCCATTGAATCCCTACCACAAAGTCGTTGGAGAGCCGCCACGGTTCGATGTAGAGGAGGTCGATCGCAGAGCAATTCAATTCAGCATAGATCCCCGCTCCAAGAAGGGAAGAATGCTACTGGGAGATGGTTCGCCAAGGGCATCCTAGCACAAGAGAGCATCAAGTGCCTTTATCTTCATAAGTGTGCAGCTTTGGAACCAATTCTAGGGATGTGATGCAGGAGTGAGACGTGTCAGTGTGCCTTTCAACGTGGATGTTTGAACAGTTTCACACAAGGCAATGACTCGGGTGGCTGCTGCTTCCCCATTGTACTGTGGAGAGGAGTGAATGAACCTGCAGTGGCATTGGGGACATATGGCGTTTCCAAGGAGCCATGAGGAAGAGGATCATGCAATGCCAATGTGATGGAAGACATGTGTTTGCAATCGACTGTACTCAACAACAAAGATCTGAAATGTGTGCACAGATGACCTCCTACTTCCAGCAAGCGCTGTCGTTGCACACGAATGGCAACAATGTACTTGGCATGCCACAAATCGTGCATTGGAATGTCCAGAAACACAACAGAAATTGGCACTGGATGCTTTTTCCATAACCACTTCCTGCTGCAGCTTGGTGGCTGGTAGTGTTGGGTCCCGCACATGTGACTGTTTTAGGGATCAGCCCAACCCGGGATCAAGAATTTAGAACAATGGCCACCGACCATGTTCTATGACAACAGTCGACACGATACTTCGATAATTTGTGCCAGTTTAACCGGCGCTTGACACACAACAAAATCGCCCGGGACTTGCTTTGAACAGGGGTTTCGCCGTGTAGGAAGCCAAGTGGATCAATGTGAAGTTGGACAAGTGGGGTGTGAGGTGAACCGTCTGCCCGTTTGGAATAGGATGGCGCCAGAACAAGGGGTCCGTCACCGGGAGCCTTGCGGCCCCATGGGGCCTGACAGGGGTCTACGTACTGGCCGCGGGAAAGCGCCCTCAAGAAGCCATGGAGAAGCCAAGGGGAGTTGGGGCTTCCTTGCACAAACACGTGGAACCCTTCGAGGTCCTGAAGTAGTGACACCCCAAAAGCTTCCCTTGTCGGCCCCTCAGTTCAGTGGCTCCCTCTGGGGCCGGCCGCCCACACCTACGCAAGAGACCGCCTACCCGCTACTGGCGAGCGGGGCTGGCACCGGCGGCCTGAGGCTGCCTGTTAGGCGGTGTGGCCTGATTCGTGGGCAGGGGCCCGCTCCGTGGCCCAAAACACCCCCTGGTGCAACTCCCCAGAGCTCCACGCGGGATTGGGGCGAGTCGCAAAGACGTCGCAGCGTCCGGCGCTACGGGGGGTGGAACAGAGCCGCCCTGTGCGATCTTGATTGCCCACTCACCACCCAGAGGGGTCGGGCCCGGCGGTACGCAAGATGGGGAGTGAGGTGAGGAACACGCGTCCTGCCGGTCATCGCGGCCTCGGAGGGGCGCCCCTGCCTGAGCTGCAGCACGACACTCCGCCTAGACAGGGACGAGGGATGCAGGGCGGCATGGTTCGCGGCGGTTGGCAGTCAGGGTCAGGGATTTGATCTTCCCCCTGTCCAAGTGTAACAGAACTTGCATTGTGGCTCGCTACGGCGTTCAATGGTCTTCCCGGTGATTGCCGACAGATCGTTGCAGGGCGGAGGGGCCGCAGCGGAACACCCTGCTCCCAATGGCAGACTGTCGTGAGAGCAGATTCAGAAAGGTGTTGGTCGCTGGGCCCAATTGCTTGGTACCCGGGAGCAAGCCTCAGAAACCGAACCGGAACTGAAACGCACAGTCTAACGTCGCTGCCTGTACCACATGCCTGGTGGCTTCGGTGTGAAGATACACACACACACACACACACACACACACACACACACACACACACACACACACACACACACACACACACACACACACACACACACACACACACACCTTGAGGGCTGCAAGAGGCTGAGGTCTGCATGTTTGTGTCTCACAGGCAACAGGGGACAGTGATCGCATCAGGAATCGGCTGGAGGCTTGGGAAGGCGGCTCCTCTTCTTTGGATTCTTCCCGCTTGCCTCAGTTGTCCACGGATTCGAAGCTGGTTGTGAAATCTGACAGAATATGGCACCCTGTGGAAGCTGGAAAGGCTGCAGTGGTGGAAGAGCTTGGACGTAATGCTGCACAAACAGAACGTGAGATACAGCTGCATGGGCTGCGTTGATTGGGACTAGATTCTGCCCCCTGGATTCCAGCTTTGATGTCCCCTTGGTCCCTTGTTGATTTCTTTGCAGAAGAATGCTTTCCCAAGCTGCAAGTTCTTCCCCAACTGCTGTTTGTTATGTTGCAGGTGTGTGCTCATGCTGTCCTGGTGAATGCATCTGTGTGTCCACTGCCCACAGAGACAGCTGCTTGTCTGTTGGTGCCAAGGACACGTCATGCACATCGTCAGAACAAGAAAGTGGCGATGGTTGTGAAGAGGCCTCTGCTGCCCAGGTGCTATGCTCTTCACAGTTGTGCCCATTTACTCCCAATCCCACCAAATTCACTTGGCCCCACCCACTCACACACCCACATCCATGCCTCTGTCCTGTTCTCCCTGCTGTGAACTTGGCTGAAGCAGGACACAATGGAGGACCTGACCTTGTGTGGCTGCATGCAGAAGAAAAAGACACGGAGGGGAACAAAGGCTGGGCGTCAGGTCAAGGAGAGAAGGATAAAAGCCACGGCAAAACGCGAAGCCAAGGCCTATGCGGCTTTGGCCACCCCAGCCTTCAATGCGCCCCCTCCCCCACCCTTTGGCTATATAGCACCACCGATAATTGCCCCCCCACCATTCCGCCTAGAAGTGGATGAGACTTCGGAGGGTGTGGCCACACTGCCACAGGGTTTGCTTGAACCACTGGTCAACCGAGAAAAGGAGTAGGAGCAGCCAAAAGAGGGCCTTGCTCTTGGCCGCTCGTGATAGCATTGGAGCGCCAGGTCTTGGGAGCTGCAACAGGCGTTAGGAGCTACAACAGCCCTCCCTGAATTTTGAGGTTCCAAGCAATGTGAGAGAGTGGGTGAGGCATCGTGGCGACCATGATTGCAAGTGACAGTGCAGTGGCAGCATCGGGGAGCACAGCACTGCAAATGGCGCAGGAGCGCAGTGGAGCGACAGATGGTCACAAAGCACCATTTTTCATGGCATTGATGTGTGCGTACAGATGTCTGTGAGTGGGAGCACGTGGGCGACTTGCTATCTTGGTTGTTGCTGACAGAGCCCAGGAGATTCGCTATGAGAATAAAAATCCAGGATGACGTGACTGGGGTGCATCATCTATGATGCTTGTTGAATACTGCAGTTCTCACAGGGAAAGCTGGCAAGAGCAGCAGGAGCTGTTGTTGATTTGGATGCCTTGAGTAGTTTAATTTGTAGATGCTATGGTGTCTGGAGGGCGTTCGTGACAGATGCCAAGTTTTCTGTGGACTGCCATATGATATGGATGCCACATCAATAGCATGGCAGTCTGTGTTTCTTAGATCTTGCTTTGCCCATGGTTGCAGGGGACATACTGTAGCCCCGCCGTGCACAGTTGAGTGTGTCGTGCCGAATTCAGAGAGGCAAGTGGACATTGTCTGGCGTATGGAAGAAGAGGGCGATATTTTCTTTCCCTCATAAAGGTTCTTTGCATGGGCATTATCGATGGAGTGCACAGAATGGGATATGAGAGCATTTCTCCATAGCTCTTTCGTTCATAGTCGGTTTTCGCTGTGGTGCACTGCTGGATATGCACAATGGGCATGACTAATGTTTGAAGACAGGGTGACTCGTGGCTGCCTAATTCCTTTTCGCTGTTGATGCTAATCACAGGTGCCATGTGGAACTGCATCTGAGCATGCGTTTCTCCCGTTGGACGTCAGGAACAGCAGTGGTCGAGGCCCCTGCCACTTAAATGGCTGAAATTTCCAGCAGTCCCTGGCTAATGTCAATTGTTGTGCCACTGGTTTTGAATGTGCAGTGGTGAGATCTATGATGTGTCCAATTCGACTCCGAAGCATCTTTGCTTATGAAAATTTCACCATCTCTGCCTTCAAATCGTCAGTTTTGTGCATGCATTTTGTTGCACAGTTTTGGCGTGGAAACGAGGCTGACAATTGCCCTAGGGACAGTAGAAATTGCTGAGCATTATTCGATGCGATGGAGACCCCACCTGGGAGCCACAGTGCCCTAACATTGTATCAGTGAGCAGGGACCCAATCCTCCCGGTCTACATGCCATCAACGCAGTTTGCACTCAGTGAAATGGCTCCCGCTCTGTCAGGGCGCAGAAATCCTGTGCACCAAAATCCAGGCAGCAGAGCATGGAGGGAACCCCATGAAAACGTCTGGCATCATGATTTCGCATCGTCTAGCCAAATAAAAGCTTTACTTGAGGGGATACTCTTCCTTCCCGACCCACACAGTGGCCAGTTGCCAATAGGATCTGTTAAATCCGCCTTCATCCATGTTGTTACTTCACTGAATGGATGGCGCAGGACCCGCACATGGCGACTAACTTGGCAACACAACAGCATAGACCTGTCAGGGATTTAGCATGGACAGTCGCTGAGCGTTGCTCAAAAGTGAAAGGCACGGAGAGGCGTTGAGAGCATTATTTTCATCAATCTGTTGTTTGCTCCGCAGTATGTAACTTTAAACATCTTTAGGATATTCTAATTTGAACGGCTTGGCATGGAGCCTGACCTTGTGTGCCCTATTTTGATGCCAAGATTTGCTCAGTCGGTGGCTGATCTCGCCCAAGAAGCATGGTATTGGGGAGCAGGGTGGTCCATTTGCTCAATTGTGAGGGCAACAGGCCACCTGCAAGAGGAACATAAGGAGTGACAAATTGAAGGATCAACTGGAGCAGGGATTTACATGAATTCCGGAGAGGGTGGTAGTCATATTCCATTATGTTGATGTGCCATGTTGGGGACTTGTGTGGGGTATCTTTTGTTGTAGATGTTGTGTGTCTCATTGCTATGACTTAGCTGAATATAAGATTATTCTATTGTACTTTCTAGATCACAATATATTGCTATCGGGACAAAAACTTTTGGGAGGAGTAGGGAAAGCTTTCGTTTCTCTCTTTGGTTCCTAAGGATATGGAGACGTTGTCTGGGATACTAGCTTATGTTAGATGCTTTGGAAGTGTCTTAGAAGTTTTGGGATTTGGAATATATTCATTGCTTGACATGGTGTTAAAATGGGCCCACAAGTATTAAACATTAATTTCGTTGTATTTAGCAAATGTGCCATTTGACTGTAATGAACTTGGTTCTAGTTGCCTTGCTCCCCGCCTCCGGTAGTCTTGCATGTGCCCTGCAGGCGCCCTCCCCCCGGGGGTGTGTTGGGGTGGTGCACAACAATTGGTTTTGGAGCCTGGATCCCTCCCCCATCACTTACCGTCCATCCTATCCATTCCTCCCTTAATTGCGTGGCTGTGGCTTCCTCTTGGCCATGTCTAGTTTACCTGGCCTACGTCTGAGATCTTTCCATAGAAGTGTGTCATGTCCTTGGCCGGCAGGCGTATCACAGGCTCTCTATGGCTTGTGCTTAATGGCTGCACTACTCGCGGTTCCGTCCGAGACATGCGTGTGGCGCTCGAGGAGGCAGGGGGCAAGAAATCTCTAGAACGATTGACTACAATCAGCACAGCCGCATCACACTCTTACATCCATGGCCTACAGTAACTAAAGTCCATTAATATTCATTTAACCTCTGGTCATTGGTGGCCAGGGGCTCCGCCCTCGGACCCCTAGTCAATTCTATCTTGTGTCAATCTCTAAGGTGGCTGAGGGCATCGCTTCACTCAGCCCTTAGCCATCATTCTTGATTTCCATAGAGATGCGAGTAGTTTGCCATTGCGAGTCATTTGCCACTATGAATTGTCCACATCATTACCAAAAACCACTCCCCCCCGGGGAAGGAATTCGGCCTCGAATTGAGAATGGTGAAAGGGGCGAAATAACCAAAACGAACCATCAATGAGCCTCTGAAAGTTTGTTATGCTTGATCAGGCCACGGAGGCCACTTGAACTAGAAAAGCTTGATGTAGGCTGAGCCTACATGGGAGCCTACTAGGCTCCCAAGAGGCCACATAGATGGAATGGTTGCTCCATAGTATGAGGTACTCCTTCTTGCGTTGTTGACCTAGATAATAATGCCAATATAAAAGTTTCTCAATCTCAAAGACATCAAGCTTAGCATCCTCAGTAGGGACCAAGACAGGAAGGTGAACAAAAACTAGAGCCTGGTGTTGCCATCTATTTTTTAGTGTTCCATACTACCATCTGCCAAATAACTATTTTTGTAGAAGTATAATTTAGTAGAGATTGGGCCCTGGTGAGCGGCACAAAAGCATGACTGTAACCACAAAAGCACTACAACAATGGCAATCTAGCACCATCAATGGCGCCTCACTCGACACCAATGGCGCGAGACGTGGCCGCTCAGCTTTTTTTCTGTTATTTTCTGTCCGTATTTTTTGTCAAGACAAAAAATCCGTCCGTCACTTTTCTGTTGTTTTGCCGGGGCCGGTTTTCTGTTGCCGTTCATGCCACGTCAACTTCCAGTTTTTTGGCTCTGGAGCTGTCCGTCAAGGGGGTGTTTGCAGCCACCAATTTCTGTAAAGATGTTTTTTTTTTCCGTTGCCTTTCCTGGCATTCCGTTGCCATCCGTCATGGACTTTGAGATTATGGAAGCTTGTCGCGAATAGAGGCGTATCGAATCGCTGCCAGTACTTGGCTGGAGGCAGCACACACACAGAACACATTATCATGGCATACTATAAATCATAAGTGCTGGCCCTTCCCAGCAGCGATCGCTGCCGGTACTTGGCTGGAGGCAGCACACACACAGAACACATCATCCCGGCATACTATAAATCATAAGTGTGGGCCCTTCCCGGCAGCGATCGCTGCCAGTACTTGGCTGGAGGCAGCACACACACAGAACACATTATCACGGCGTACTATAAATCAAAAGTGCGGGCCCTTCCCAGCAGCGATCGCTGCCGGTACTTGGCTGGAGGCAGCACACACACAGAACACATCATCACAGCATACTATAAATCATAAGTGCGGGCCCTTCCTGGCAGCGATTGCCATCGATTTTTTATGGAATTCTGTCGACCTTTGTGGTCTGGTCAGCGGTTCTGTTGCGGGTGCCTATCATCTGTAGACGGCGGCGCGAATTCTGTAACACTTGGTTTCATTCTATAAGGCTGTGTGGATTTCTGTAGTTGTCTATGCTGACGTCAGTATGGCCCTACCCGTTTCTATAAAACGCCTTTTTTCTCTGTGGCTCCCTCATAAATTCTGTTGATTGTACAAAATTTTAACGGAGCCAAACAAATTCTGTTGGGGACGGACAGATGGGGCCACCTCTAAATGGCGCGGTGTGGGAAACGCTTGGCAACAACAACTGCCGGCGGTACTGGGTGACATGGCAACAATATGCATGGTATCCAATCTTGCCAAATCTACAGTATCCAGAAAACACAACATCCGCTGCCATGTCAATGGCCATCAGTGGTGTGGGGACTGGCCGTCAATGGTGGGCGGCTGACCAAGCAAGGGCACATCAATGGCACTGCCTGACCGAACAATGGCAATAAAGTACAATAAAGTACTTGGGCACATGAATAGGGTAGAAATGTGCATGGTACATCTAGGGTTTTGCCCCCAATGGCATGGTGTAAGGGGCAACGTCCCCTTTTTGGCCGGTCCGGAAACGTCCCATTCAACCCCATTCGATTTGGGGACCGGTCTGGCCGGAACTTGCAACACAACTTCGATTACAAACTCGCTCGGTGTCTCTGTATTTATACCCGACTTCCCAAGGCATCCCAAGGCATCCCAAGGCATCCCAAGGCATCCCAAGGCATCCCAAGGCATCCCAAGG